CGTACTTACTCTGGCCGTACTTGAATCATAACGAGAGATATTTCATCGGTGTTATCAATTAAACTCGAGGCATCATTATATACAGGAGCATCGGAAAAAGTGAGCAGCATGAGTTTAACAATTGATCACTGGCTAACAAGGATGTGTCGCCGTTTTGGGGCTGCTTCAATGTGATTGGTTCAGGACGCTAACTCAGCATACTGGAGCAATGTCCATGAATTTGATCATGTGTCTTTCGTGGTCTGAAATCTTCTCCCCACTGGAACGTCCAGCCCAGCTCCCTGCGTCATTCCAGCTAGCGGGAAAAGGGGTATCTAGGACTCATCGGAGCAGAAATTGAGATTGATCTTGGTGTGAGAGGCTCGCCGTATACAGTCTTACCTTCAGTATCAAATTCGAGGGTTTAAGAGCCCCTTTAGGGACGTTTACCAAGAGGTTGAAGCAGATGAGCTTTACGATGAATTCAACTCACAAGCTGGACATGCGCTTCTTGTGCAGTATTCTGCAAAGGGTGGGGGGGCGCAAGTCTGGGTACATGGGGCTTCTATGGCTTTAGGAAGAGCGTTTTCTGGCCTGTGTGGTTCCCAGGCTGACAGAGACACAAACCCAGTGCCTCATGGCCAGTCATGTAATAGAGCTGTGGAGCCGTGTCCAGGTGGGGTTTGAGTCTGGAGATGCGGGTCCGTGGTTTGGGAGCTGTGGTGGGAAGGCTTGGGCTTTAGGCCCCGTGACCTAGAACAGTTGATTCGAGGCCACAGATTGAGGGCTGTGGACGTGGATCCACTTTGGACGTACGTCCATAGCTCCCGGTCTAGGTGGGCTTTCAAACTGTCAACTGGCGGCCACCCTGGCTTATAACCCCCAAAGGGACTGGATCTTCTGACTACAGTCTGTATTGGTCACAAGTACTTTGATCTAGATCTTAACTGCATCTATTCCTCTTAAGTCTACTGCCGGCGTTTTGCCGGCCGATCAAAATCACAATCAGCTTGAAGTGCCCGTGTGATCGAATTCACCGTTTCCTCGCTCACAACCAGATCGTCGCCGAAAGTCATAAAGATCGTGTTCGTGCCATCCTCAATTGCCGCATCGAAGCACTGCCTAGGAGGGACCTGCCGTAGATTCTGGTCATAAAAGGTTGCCTTGTGTGCTCGCGCATTCTTGGACGCCATTCGCTCCACAGGAGTCGGATCGGATAAGTCGACCACCATGTGGTGGACCAAGCGATTCCAGTCGCCGTGTTCATCACGTGCACGGAACATGATTGTTACCGCAGAACGCTTGGCTGCATCGCTTGCTCCTTCTCCTCGTCCACGAGACTTGTCTTGTTCCTCGGGCGGCTTCTCTAATCTGACTCTGTTCATGCGTGTGCTCGCATCGGTCTGCGTGGAAGACTCTCGCGGTGGTGATAACGAGGGGCGCTCCCTCACCGTGCCTTCCTGCGTAGCATCTGCTATGACTTGAAACTGCGGCGAAGCGTCCGGCGGGACAGACTCTGACCACGGTCCTTCCGACCGGGTATTCATTACTCCATTGCGTCTAGAGTTCTGATCAATCGAGCTCGGAATTTCTGACTGCGGTTCGAACTCGACGGAGCGTAGTATTTCTTCCGGTGCCTGTTGGTGGTCCTGAGTCAGGTTAACTTGACTAGCCACGGGCCGCGCACTCTGCTCTTCATTTACTCCCAATAAAGGAGGATGCTGTGCTTCGAGGAAATTGATGTCAGTAATACGTCTCGTTGTCTGTTCCGGGGTAGCCGTCTGTAAGAGTGCGTTTATATCCTGCTCCAGAGTCTCCTGTGGCGGTGTTGATATCTTGCGGGTTTGTTGGCGCCGCTGTGTCCGGTCATATGGACTGAACTTGGCCTTCTCACGCAACGCTGCACCTTTTCTGCCCACAGTCCTAGAGGGCCCCGATTTGATATCCGACGCCCCACGTCCTTCTAACATTTCCAGTGCTTTTTCAACTTCTTTCGCCGAAGAAAGTTGCGCTGCAGATTCTGCCGCTTCATTGTCTTGTTCGCTTGCATGCTCTTCCATATTGTCATCTTCCAGGTACTCTCCTCCAGCTATACTTTCTTCACCCCCTCCCCGCGGCTGCTCGTCCTCAGATCCCAGTTCCGCGTGACTATCTTCTGATTCTTCACTTTCATTGAAACCGTGATCCTCCTCTGTAGGCTCACTGTGCTCGAGTTCATCGGCTACGGGAGGTTCCTTATCAGGGAGACCCTGCTCATTTCCATCTGTTATACCCCTACTTTCAACTAGCACGAATTCTGTCTCGGATGTTGGCTCCAATACCTCTTCTAAACCGCCGCCTTCCGAATCAATGCGTGCGGTCTCCTTGTCAGATCCGGAAGATAATGGTGACAAGTTTCTGGAAGAAGATATCGAATGTCGGTCGGCACGTGAGAATCGTTGCCTCCGCTGCTGTCGTTGCTGTCGCCTCCGTAGCTTCTTCGCTCGCTTCTGCTGACGTAGCTCTCGACGTGCTTCTTTCAAGCGTTGTCGCTCTAAGCTGCTATCCCGCCTGGCTCCTGGACCTGCAGACCCAATCTCTCCTCCGTTTTGCGGCGAACGATTGCTCGAAACGAAAAGCGGAGACATTGGCAATTCAGGGTTTGGCGATCTGCCTGCCGTGTCGTTATTCACACGGGGCATTGGCATCTTGCTGAAAAAGGTAAAATAGACACTCCTCCTCACCAAAGTGGAGGTGGCTTTTCGTTCCCTTTGGAGTGAATCACCATGGAGCTGATCAATGAAAAGGAACTGACAATCTCGTAATTGGGCTTCGGCTTGCGGATATCCACATCGAGATTCTTTCTTGAGTTCTCCTCCACCAACGAACTGCACCGGAAGCCTCTGGTCGAGAGGGACGGCCCTCAAGAAGCACTCGGTGACTTTGTTGATCAGTGACTCGATTTCTTCCTTGTTATACTGATAACGATCTGGTCGCCGGGCTTTCAAAAGAGCATCTTGCGCGATTTGCCGATCTGGCGACTGCTGGATGAGCTGTTCAATTTGTGGCGAGTGAAACCCAAGTCTCTTTGCGAGCACAGCCATATCATACAGTATCATAGGCTCCACCACCTCACGATTAGGCTTCGCCATAGGATCTTTCCCGTCTTTCCTCTGCGGCTTTTGGAATAAGCTTGGGTAATGTCGCATAGCATAGAGCCAGAGTTGTCGATATCCAAGTTCTGCTGGATCCCCCTGGGAGTCCGAATAAGACCGAAACTCAGATTCGGATGTCTGTATCAAGAACTGCGCGCAGGTGGGATCGGAGGACACAAATGCCGCGCGCATGGCGATTTTGATCGTTGGGAAAGATCTGGAAGGAGTGATAAGTCGTTTGATGCAGTTCGCGCATGATTCTAGGTACCGTAGATCTTTGAAGAACGTATACAGAGATGGAATTATGCCTTCCGTCTTCTTCAGTCGCTTCCAAATCGAGGCACGTTCGGATTGTGTGAAGTTTGAAAAGACTTCGCCACTGTGTACAAGGCCTTTCACGGTGATTCTATCCTTCGAGGAGACACCAGGCGCCAGGAGTTGCAATATCTCTACTGTATGAGGGTCAACTTTGAGCATCTTAGTACGATTGTGTTCCACGAGTGAAGACCAATATTGCAGTAGCCTAGTTAGCGCGTGAACTATCTCCTACAATCGTAGTCAGCATCTCTTTACGTTGGAGTCCGACAGATGATTTTACCTCGTCGCAACAAATAGCCAGAGCCTGCGGAAGAGATCCGATTTGCATTCCATGTATCATCAAGGAAGGCAAGACGAGTAACGAATCAAAAGCAGCTCGGACGCTCGGATGAGACTCAAGTCCGCGGAGCCGCCTGGCTTTGTTGTTTGACAGCCGAGCCAACCATCGACTCTCGAAGTGTGCGTTTGCTTCGTTTCGATATTGTCGAACTTTTATGTAAATCTCACCATCGCTTGGGACTCTCTCGTTGGAATACTCATCAATGAGACTTGTTTGAAGACCGGGACTAATGTCTTGGGGCTGTCAAAACTGTGGGAAAGCAAGTGGTGAATTTCTGGCTTACCCTCCAAGTACAAGTCAACAGTCCACCATTGGTCGATCAGTGGTAAGCAGTGTTCTCCGGCCTTTAATCGATGTTGTCCATGAAGGCACTGTATGGAACCAGTGGGGAAATTGAGGTGTGGGTAGCGACTCGGTTGGTCAGTCATCAAGTCAGCGGCGTTTACTCGTCCTGCTTGAAGAGCCTCATGGAGATGCTGTCGTGACACAACAGCGCTCACGTGGTTGTAGATATCGAGTCTTCGACAACCTTCTTTGTCAAATATCTGACAGAGTCTTTCCACGTTCTTCGTGTTCATATGCTGTGAGACAGATGGGTGGGGGGTAATCTGGCTGATGTTAACTCTGGCTGTTCCTTGGTATGTTCGACACCTTTCTGTCAGAATCTGCAGCTCGGGGTCTGGGTAAATAGGCTCGTCCATGGTTTTTGATGAAGCATAATCTACGTAGCGGGAGAGCATCGGTTGTTTATATTTAACTGGTCTTGGCCTCACATAAGGAAGGGTCCACCTAGCTGAGTCAGCGTCCTGGTGACCAATGTGGTTGCAAGAAGTCGGAGCTGTTCCCCAAAATATATTTAGTTCCATCTATCGATATAATTGCATTATAAATAGGACCATCTTCGCATTCAAACACTACATCCTTCTAACTCATTTTCTTTCCGACCATATTGATCTAACCCAATATGTCGACACAAGATAAGCACTGCACGGCGGTTGACTTCGTGAGATACAAAGAACAGTTTGCGAATAACCCATCACGAGAGTCACCCTTGGGCGAACAGCCACACCAGCTCGATGCACCCACTCACTTGGACAGTAGTTCCAACTCAAAAAAGAGAAAGACTTCTCCCCGGAGCGAACATACACGAAAGGTTGTGAGTGGAAGCCCAAAAAGATTCGGCTTGCCTCAGGTGTGCGAGTGGTACATCTCGCCGGCTGGTCGTGAGGGAAGAATCACCTTGGGACACTTATCGTCGGACACTCAAGTGTAACCTGGCGGGCGAGGTGTTCATTGCAGCTCGCCGTTCCTATCCGTTCCAGGTGGTAGCCATTCGGGAGTACACCAAAGGGGACGTAGCTAAAATGCAACGACTGTATGATATCCTTGATCACGATAATGTATTGACGGCCCGAGAGTGCTTTGTCAATGAAGGATACATGTACGCTCTCGTTAACGACCTCCAGCTTACTTTGGAGCAACTTGTGGGGTGTCGGTCTCTTTATCCCACGGAGGCGGAATTAGCTTCCATAATTTGGCAGGTATGTGGCTCTTGACATTTCGGCTATATTAAGCTCATGACAGTGCAGATTCTGAATGGTTTATGTTACCTCAATGAAACCGGATTAGAACATCAGTCTCTGAGATGCCGGAATATTCTTCTCGACCTAGATGGTGTTATCAAGATCGGTAAGTGGCAGATACCTCCTTTTTAAATGATTCTCCTGACTCCCTATAGCCAGCTTGGAGATGTGCATAGAATGTCAGCCGGGTCAGGCACAGAATGTATACATCAAAACACTCGCTTCCCTTACCATGGAAGTCATGCAGAAGTATGTGAAAGATGATGGAATGGTGGGAGTAGATGACGTAGATCGTTGGCCTGTCGACTCGGACGCCTTTGGTTTTCTTTCCGCCCTCTCGACAGCAAAGTCCATTGAATCCTTGAAAAAGGTACCCAAGTCACCATGTCAAGAGTGGATCAATATGCAACTAACATTTGTCAGCAACCGCTTGTCCGCGAAAAAGGTCGATTGGTAGGAGAGTTGATGCTTCTTGCTAGGTCTATTTTAGTCTCTGCAAGGATGTTCTATTCCTACGAGAGGTAGTTGGAAACAATCCCTTTCAGGGAATTGTGAGTATTGGCTTGCTCATGGTTTTCAAAGGATCCATCATATGCCTGTAGCCTTCAATCATGTCGAAAAAGTTGTCAGTAAATGCATCACGCGTATATCCAGACAAATATGACCTATTATAGGCCTCAATAGAGATCCAAACGTGACAGCTCGTGCGGCAAAGAGCTCTTGTTAAAGATCCAATCTTGAGCACTGCATGAAATAAGAACCTACCAGTGCTATATTTGTTACTATAGGTTCTAGAACGGCGGCTAGATTCTAGCTATTCAGAATATCACAGTACAGTTATGAGTGACGGAGATCGTGGGCTCGGAATCTCGTCTGGGAATTGAGATGGGAATGAGGCCCCATTCCTAAAAGTGAGACGTAACTGCCGCATAAGGGATCCATGATGGTTGTGATGGACTTCATATATGCACCTATATAGACAGGATAAAGTCTGCCGGGTGGGGCATTTCCTATCTAGGCTGCCGCCGCTTTTATGAGGGCGCTCAGGCTCAGGATCACTGAGTAGACGATAGCACGGGGTCAGACTCGGTGATCATGCTTAGTCCCATCACGTGACCAATGACTAATGCTCAGTCGTGCTCAGTGAGGTGATTCCTTACTAAGCCTCAAGTGAGCACCCTCTAATTTGGCCAGCACAAAAATCGACCATACTCAAAATAGACGGACCCATAGGGCCATTTATTCCGTGATGGCTAGTCCGTTGGTCATGTTTGGACTGCCTTCATTTTCTGACTATCCTACCCTATCAGTAATTTGCGTCATATCTATCGTGTAGGGAATAAAATTGAAATAGTCATGCATTACAGGGCGATAATGTCAAAGTCTACGATTTCTTGAGGCGGCTCGAGCTCAAAATATCAGGTATAAAAGGGGATCATATCCCTAGCACTAGATATCTCATGACTGCTTTCGAAGTCAGATCACTTTCCTCGAGTAGAGTCTTCGAAAATGGGCCGACAGCTCTTTTTCTCCGAGCACGAAGAGAAGGCGAAAGAGAGGCGTCGACTCTAGAGAGAGAAGAATGGCTTCGTCCCTGGAGCCCAGAGGGAAGAAGATTCCATTCGAAACAAAAAAAAAAAACTTCCTAAGACAAAGAGGTTGCATCGAGAGAAGTTAAGTCTTTGGCTCGAGTAGGTACTGGGCTTTCCGTGGGAATGGAAATGAAAAATAGTCTCCTTTAAACAAATGCAACCTATCAAGTTGAGGTGGTCCAGTTCTTCTACTAGTATCGATTGACCACCCGAGAGCGGGGTACACCAGGGTCCAGTAGTAGCTGGAAGGATTCAAAGCTGACTTTCCAGCCTCAACACGTTCAACACTTCATCAATTCAATTATTTGCACATCGTCTGAATAGAGGCTGTGGTATTGACCCCTTTGACAGCCACACACTCTGATTTCATGGCAATGGATGTTTCTCAACTTCCGGACATCACCGACTTGCTTGTCAGGCCAGATAACCCTCCACGGGAGGATGTCGAAGAAATGGATTACTCACGATGTGTGGCTCTATACAACTACCTGATCCAATATGCTTGGCTCGCTGAAGGCCGTCCACTGGCAACTCTGAATGGCAACAGCACCAACTTTTTCACGGTCCACGGTGCTGAAGCTGAGGCTCTTCGTCCAAGACTTGATCCGTCGGTGGTGGCTTTCCTTGACAACGCTATAATACCTCCTTGGGAAGGTTTTAGCGAAACACCACTCTCTATTTTTGCATCGGGACTCAATGGGCCACAATCACTTTTTGCGGAAGTTGAAGCTGATCTTGAAGACCAGCCGGTTGACAGCATGCTGCGCTTGTGCTATGTGGCCTTATCAACCGATGACAGTAATGGGGGTGTTATTTACCACCAACGCCACCATCGCGTCGCGATCTTCATGCATACTGATGACTGGGGCTTCGGGTTTCCAGTTAAGGATCATCCAGACGTTTGGAACCCATTCGAGACAGTGCTCTCCCACTGGATCGACCTGATTCATATTAGAAAAGTCGTGGCTGCGCCTCATGAAGAGCCAGCGCTATTCGAATTCGAGAAGATCGGGCCCTGGGAGTGGCGGCCCTATAGCGAAGCCCAGGTTACTACGTGTGTCGACGCGTGGGATCGGTTGTGTCAGGCCATCGAGACGCGCATCTCGCAGCTGCCAAACCCACCATCACTGATCAGCCCCGATTCCGGGACTGATGCGGATAATCCAGAGCCACTGGTCGCATCAAGCGTCCTAGACGCCGCCTCGGTGCTCGATCCTTGCTTTACGCGTTCGTTTCTGTCACGCGCGAGACGACCCTCGTTCCAATACATCGCTCCAGGCCTTCTCCTGCCCCCGGCTGACTTGTCTGGGTTTGTGGCGTCACAGACATTCACCGCATTGCCCCTTTCCCAGTATACCGTACCGCCAGTGTGCCTTTTCCCCGCCGACACCGGAGACCAGCGTCCTATCGAGCTCACGAGATTTACAAGTCCATGGGTGTTAATGGAGGATTTCTATTCATCGTCTACCGATACGCACACACCGTCTCGCATCTCTGCGGGTCTGTATACTACAGCAGTGGATAGAAAATGGGATGACATGGTCGAGGATGGATTTCAGCTGTTTCTCCCGTTCACCGTCAATGCTGGTTGTGGCAGGAAGGTAGGCGCACGAAAAAGCGATGGGGAGCTTGTTGATAGGGACAGGTTTTCAGAACTCTTTCAGCATGGATTCAAGCCTTTTGGTGGTAACTACTACCGCCCTCAGCGGCTGGAGCGTTTGTTGGATTGTTGGCGCAAGCTGGTTGAAGATGGCGTTTGGTCTGTTGGGCCGGATGGGGTAGAAGGTACAATCGATACTTTCAAAGACGCTGAGACGGAGAGTCGTTGGAGGGATTATTATATCCCTCCCACGTGGTAGATATCCCAATTCCATCCCGCCTTCAATCCGGAGACTATTTCTGCGCTCTATTCTGTGGGGATGGACCAGGTTAACACCCGAAGACATCCTGAGAGGGATATGCAATTTCATAAGACCAGTCACGATCATACGCTATTCAAATGTTGAACAACTACCATTTTCTTAACTGATGGTGATTTATATACAAATTTCTCCCAATCCTTCATTTTCCTTTTCTATCTTTTCCATCAAGCTAAGAGCTCGTCAGGGTGGAGGGCATCAAGCAATGTACAAGAAAGAAAGCTCCATTGCCATGTTTAATGCAGTCAAGGGATGTACACAAACGGCGCGTATGTCACAGTGCTCAATACGGTTCCGATCTCGTCTCGGACCCAGTCGTACTCGCTGCGAACGTGGGTCGGGACTCGCTGCCCGCCAGAACACCCGTGGTGACAGTGACGGTGGTAGCATCAACAGTCACCTTATCCGAATTGTAACTTTTAACCTCCTCCTTGGTCCACGAGCCAGCATCTGGGTCGCCCATATACATGTCCACGACATGACCATCCTCGTCAAGTACGAGACGCACTTCGGAGCGCGGGCCGTCGTCCTCGTAGATGATGTTGCATGTCCGACCGTCGATAGGGTTGCCATCCAGATCGACGAAGTAGAGATTATCATAATCAAGGTCGAGATAGGCATCGTTTGCCATTTCCAAGGAATTTGAGGTCAGCGTGGCAGACGCCAGCGGGGTCGTTATACTCCTCAAGCGACATGTACTGGTCGTTGCCGAGAAGGTCTCTTTGAAATATTCCCGGTTGAGAGTCAAAAGGCCGATACTGAGCGCTTGCTATCGGGGCTGGATCAACGCGCCAGGACTGTCGAGGCCACCCATATGCATTACCGTACATGCTTATCAACGTCGCCTTGTCAGCTATGCATTGACTACCTAGTAAAGTTGGGAGAGGGATACATACGGATCATCGTCAAGAACACGGAACCCATGGTCAGTAACCGTGGAGGTCGAGATAACTCCAGGCTGGTCGGTGTAAGTGTATGTAGCCCAGCAAAGCGAGTTGACCGTTTGCTCGTCGAAACCATAAGCATCTATGAAGTGTTGTCCACTGCCGGAACCGCGCCCCGCGGGCAGCGGCCCAAACGCCCTGTTTCAAGGTCAGAGATGATCGCATGACGGTAGCTTGAGTTTTACATACCAGGTTGCAGGCGGTCCATCGTCATTAATGCCGCACTTGGTAGAGCGGTACGCCGAGCAAGGCCTCCATTGCGCGTCCTTCCAAGCCTTGTAATCATTTCCCTGTCTCCCATTCGCAGGGCCGTTGACTAGACGGCAAGCCTGCGGAGAATTATTTCCTGATTCCTTGAGGTTGCCCATAGGAAACTCATCCAGTTGACATCGGGCTACGTTGTTGATCGATGCTTGGGCCCGGGTTCGGTATGCGCCAATACGCTGGCTAGATCTCCACGATGAATACTTACGGCCGTTCTGGGCTGTCAGTGGTTGATAGACAGTCTTTCCGTTGAGCAGCTTGTTGATCGCCCATCTTTGGTTATCACAAATCTCATCCCAACCCAAGCCATAGCGGCACGTATATGTGACCTCACAATCGCAGCTAGTCGTCGTTGCGCCGCCGTTAAAGTCGAGAATCGACCACTGGCCATACGCAGTTCGGGTCCCAACTTTTGTTGGGACGCCAACGTTGGGTTTAGATGGGGAGCCGCCGAAAAGCCACCCAACTATGCCTGAGATAATTTGCCAACCGACGTAGATCGTAGCAGCGGCGCCGGCAAGTGCCCCCAGAGCGCATACTACCCCCTCCCCAATAAGGGATAGGCCGAACGTGGGCAGTGCTCCAAGAAGCGATGGGACGAGATCAGCGAGGCAGAGAGATCCCAATCCCAATCCGGAGAGTATCAAGCCAGGCAAACCACGCTCTTCAAGTCCATGGTCGCGTACATAGATACTGAGGCCAGTATTAGAACCGCCTCGCTTGCTAAGCACAGAAGTCTGGCCATAGAGCACGAGGTTGCCAGAATTGGTGATTGACGAAGGGACAAATCCCGTGCAGCAATATGCCCGTCTGCGTGATTGTCTCATGGTGGCTACGTGATAGACTCATGACCGGCCCGACGGGAGGCCACAGCCGACCAGAATCCTCCAATAGACCATGATCTTTTTTACCACGAATTTATTAATGAACTTAGGGACAAGAACAGGCAAGGTGGTGCCGTCCACAACCATTAGCCAGCGCGCGTATGGAGAAGACAAAGGATTTGTTGGAGGACATGATCGAATAACGTTAGCTGAAAGGGTCATTTGGAAATAATTCTAAGTCAGCAATCGCTACTCGGAAAAGGCCCCACCCTCCGGGGCACGGTTCCCTACGGTCTAAAAGCCAGAGGAGAAAAGACGATGGCATCGTGAAGATAATATATTTGATTAACACCTGCTGGAACTGACTGTAGAGTTAGAATCTCTGCAGAAAGATTAGGTGGGAAGCAGCAAGTCTAGATAGAGATTTGAGGTTTGGAACCACCCATCTTTCTAGCTTGCATGAGTTTGCTTCATTCTCCACGAGCGCCTCGAGGAAGATGTTTAGTTGGTCCTGGGAAAAGACATTATCACCTCCAAGCATGAGGCCTACTGCCATAGACTCAAACGATCGATAAAGACTGGTCAGAGCTGGGTAGCGATTGAGAACATAAATGGCCAACGTGTCTACCATTTTATTCTGAAAAGCTGTTCTTCTGCCTCTATTTCAAAGTCAGCAATACAACCATTTCGTAGAGTGTAAATGAGCATACATTTGATTTGCCAAGTCTTCACTAGCTAGTAAAATCACACCAAGTCCCATGCAGGTAGCAACTTTCCACCAACGCTCGCCCCAGCGGCATTGATCGCTCAAAAAGTCGCGATCTTTTTTTTGCGGCACGAATGGGCTCCCGTGAAAAGCCTGTAAGATAGAATCTCTGGCTATCGTGGGAATTGCCCGACGTTGTCGGTTAAGCGGAAGACCGTTTTTCTCACTTTCCTTCAAATCATTGACAAGATTTTCGAAATGAATATGGATCCAAATCTGGGCAAGGCGGCGATTCACATCGTCTGACTTCGAAACTGAACCAGTGACCGAGTTCAGGTACCTCAGATATGCCACGCATGCCGTCAGGGACGAATTCAAGCCATACATGTCAACACTAGGTAAGGTATGCAGGTGACAGTTGACTAAAAGAGGCTTAAACGCGGCAATCGGGCCGTCGGATTGTATAATTGTGATCAGACTATCCCCGCAGTCTTCGACGTCTCGAGCTTGTTTCTCGCTCATTGTCTCGCCAGTTGCAATCTGACATATTGTTTGAATGCAGTCAACGCACTCAGCTGCCTGGGTCCGGTTATCGACTGGCTTGTATTTGTGAAAGCTTCCTCTTCCGGTCTCTTGTGTTTCCAGAAACTTGAGATCTGGTGAAGTGAGGACTCTTCTCTGGTGCCGATTCTCAAGGCCGAAAGCACTAGAATGATCTTCACTGGACTCTGAACACTTGAATTGTTCTTTTTCGTTGATCATGAGATATTGCATTTCTGTGTTTTCACTTTTCGCAGAGAAATATGCGCCTAGACTTGACGTTCGGAGACCTGTTGTCGTTGTCTCTTTGTTGCTGTCTGTGGACTGCGTCAACAATAAACTTCCATCTGATAGCAGAGAGATTTCTGGCAGTTTTGAATGAAGCTGAGGGGCATGTTTCAGTAAAGGCTGACGCTCAGTACAGTCTTCCATGTTGATAAAGCTGCATTGTGAGGTAGCCAGATATTTTTCATTGTTGAGTGCCTCTGATGTGAGCCATGCATCCCAATCAACAGGGTCATTATCAGAGATATCGGGTCCATGGGCGCTGGCAGAGACTAGAGTGTTTGGCTCAGATGATACCATTATTCATGTGCCGGTCAGCGACAATAAGAAATTAATGGCCAACTTCTCGCAACAGTGCTTCAAGAAGGAACGTCAGGATAGCAGAAGAATTGCCTCGTGTTCTGTCAAGTGAAGTGAGAAGAGGAACAGACAACAGACACTGAATACGGCATAGCTGGGCAAATAAAGAAAGCGAATGGTCAGAAAATAAAATAAACAATGGCACACAGGGATTTCAAGCGTCCCCAAAAGGCGCATCTTGAAAGGTGACAACTGCGAGCCGTTCTGGTTGCGACCCCAAAAAGGTGTCGCAACCAGAACGGCAATTAATCAAATCATTTGGCCACGAATTTTCTCACATGGCCATGGTTCACCCAACCCGCCAAAAAAAGGGATCGTTGAAGTAGATCTTTCCGGTCGCCATGCCCCCATGAAAATCCTCGTCGACACAACAGCAAAGTTATGGTCAGAACGGAATCGCTTTCTGAGAAACCGTGAGGTCAACCGGAATTGAACCAGAAGCCGATCGGGAAATGGAGTACACCCTGTTTACAAATTGTCAAGTTTGTCATGACTTGGATAAACAAGAGCTGATCACAAAAGCATAGATAGAGTATACGCTGTTCCTTGGGCCGGGGAATACTGATGAACCGGTTTACGGTGACGGTGAAGAACAGATCAGGTGCAATGGTTCTACGGTGAAAAGAGCTGTTTGTTTCTGGAGGGCGGTGTATTATATTTAATTCTACTAATCTGTGGCCAATTGGTCATTCGCTGGGCCCACCGACCCATCTCCTTTCACTTGACAGATCTGCCCTCTCGTTACGAAGGTTGAAACTCCGTCTCATGCAGCCTTACCCTCTGTTCGAGGTGTTTAGAAACTAATTCTCTCATACGATCTCGTACGTCATGCGATGCGGATACTAGGAATTTAGCGTCTGGTTTGTGATTCAGTTGATGGACTTACCCATAACCAGAACCTCACCGCGATCCTCATGAGTGTTTGGCAGCCGTTTTATGTTTCGCCCGGAAGCCTCTTCTGATATAATTTCATCAAATCGAGGCTTTCCATTGAAAACTGTCGCGCGGCGATGCTGGCCGAACGGCTTGCCATGTTCTATCATCTGGTTTGATGCCACATAAAAAGACATTTCGAGTATCTGTATCACGTCAGCGCAAGTATGGTTAGACAGGAAGAGCCAACCCACATAGCCATCATCCAAGACATCATCGCTTAACAAGCTGTTCAGAAGTGGCTGGGCTGCAACAGCAATATCTGAGAAATTCAGCATCATTGGTTTGCTCTTTGAACGTGGAGGCCGGCCTTACCCAATGTTTGGACCTCCCACACGAAATGTACCCGGCGCACATGTGACGTGCAAGTGTTATACCCGTAGAGGAGCTTCTTAAGATAAGATATGACACCTGCTATACCGAAATCAGTCGCAATTGCCAAGACGCATTCGTAATGGTCTACGGATTTGCTGACTCCATACGGCCCGCTAACAAATGCTGTCAAGGATGTATAGCCATCCGTGGCTGTACGATGGTGAATAGTCTCAGTGAGCCCTCTTCGAGGTTGAACAAAAAGCTCCAGGACATCCTGCTTTTCTGGCGACCAAGATGTCACCATAAACGGGTGTGTCTGGGCCCAGGAGAATAGGCTTGCCGCGGGTATCCAGAGACTTATGTATTGGCCTGCCTCGACATGTAGGGGCCTTGTAAGAGCAACCCTTACTTTCAGCGGTGTTGCCTCTATGCTCTGTATTGGTGCTTGTTGCACCCGGTCACATCTGATAGAGGCACGAGAATAAGGACGTGGGGGGAAGACGCCATTCCTAACGATGAAAAGGAAAAGCTCGACCAATAATGCAAGTAGCATTGTGCCAAGCGGAATATAAACATACAGCCGGGGCAGCAGAGTATCGGATGGCAAATGCCGCCATACAAAATATATGCAGGCTGTAGCCAGGGCTTGATGTAGTCGGAGAAATGGCTCGTAGAAGAAACGGCGAACGAAAGGGAAGGATAATAAGAGAATTGCGGCCATAATCACAGCACCCTGAGAAAGATCAGTATTACAAGATTAGCAAGGCAGGTTGAGCGAGAGTGATGACGTACGATTAATCCAAAGAGTTGGGCCTTCTCACGAATATTCCAGCCCTTCTGCTCAGTTATCATAGCCATGATGATATGTAACATGAGGAGAATGCCAGTCATCCAGCCCACAGTCCGATGAATGCGCTTGCACATCATCAAAGAAACACCCATGGCGTTTGCAAGGAATCCTAGATGGTGTGCCAAGAACAGGAAACTCATATTGATCACTGAAAGGGTTCCGGCGCGGTCTCTAGCCATTGTTGTTGATGGAGTCTTGAAGGCAACAAGAAACACATTTGTTACAGCGTACGCGAGATATGACAAGGCATCAGCTCGAGTGCAAGGAGCAATCAGCCTATGGCGACCCCACAAGTATGGATATGTTAAGTGCTTCGTAATCAGGAATGACAAAGCTGTGAGTAGATTCAGAAAGGAAGGGGCTATGCGAATGAGAAAGAGTGTTGTCAGTAAGCACCCCACTGCAATGGCGTAAAAGATCGTGATGTCCATTGTCAGTCAGGACTAAGGTATCAAATATTTTTCAACTATTGCAAGAAACCGCCGGTGCTTTATACTCTCAGGATACTAGATTTCACCAGTAGGATGACTAATCTTTATGCCAGAAGCAACACCTCGTTCAGCGTTACCGCGTTTATTTCTAAGGCACCCATATCGCTGCCTTGAACCGTTGTTAATCTAACGTTAAAGTGTATATCACACGTGATATAGTTTATTGCAGAGCGGCTCATCTTCCTTGCATCCAGGCTATCGTGAGATGATCGTAAGCAACTATATCCCTGCCCCAATTTGGCGGCTCTTCCCGGTCAAGCTTCGAGCTTCTTTCCGCTTTGTTCATGAAGCTCCCAATGATATTGTGGACTACTGTGGTATTTGGCTTGGCACAGCCTCTGATATACTTCTTGACATAGCAAGTACAAGAGTGAAAGGAAAAGCAACAACTGTTTTTTCAAAGAAAGTCTATGGGCAAAATCGTACTGCAAGACGGGCTAGCCCGTAATACACTTGCATAATCCAGTATACAGCACTTGCGTTATAAAGCGCCTATCGTTGCTTCCTAGAAGCTGTCTCCTCCCAGCTTTTCTCCAAATCACGATCCGTCATCACAGTCGGAGTTGGGTAATGAGAGCTCTGGCACGTTAGCGCTCCGCCTGATGGATGACACCATGTAGTTTACATACCAATTGCGAAGTAAGAAAAGCCCAAAAGCCTGAAGCATCGGCCGACAAAATATGCACCTGACCAGTCTCCCGCATGCGAATACCTACGCATACATCTGCATTACACATCTTGCTATATTCAGATGCCTTCTTCATCATATTTGTCTTCCGACGACACTGTTTTTGGCGCTTCAATTTTTTCGCCGAGGAATTTTTGGATCGGGTAGTTTTTAAGGCAGCCATTATAAGTTGCCTTTCTCTTTGGAGGAAATGACAGCCCTTAACTGATGAGAGGCTGAAGGTGGCGCTTATAAAGACTGACTGACAAGAAAATCTCAATAAAACAGGTGCTAAAATACAAATGCGAAAAGTTGAATTTTTTGGAATTTTGATAGACAAAGAGAGCCACGATTTTCTTTACGTGAGGGACCGTGGTCTTGTGTTGATGCACGTTATGAACGAAGACTGAAACGCAAGTTAACCGCCATCATAAAACTGCCGTCACCATATGGTGGTCGCAGCTCTCTTTCACAGATGGGTTGGGCAATGAGCGAAGCAACGATCTTTTTGAACAAATTGGTGAAATGATTAAACCAAACTCAAGTATTTGTATTTAGCACTAAAGTGATTTGGTGAATAACCTGATGGTCTGCAAGTAGGAAACTGCTACTGTTTCAGTTTAAATGGCCCTCTGCACGACACACAAATGTCCTTCAAGGAAATACAACGGTTGTTGAACGCCGAGAGGCAGCAAGTCAAGACCGATCACCTCAACCTCGACTGAGAACAGAACATTCAAATGATAGGCTGACGAGCAGTGGATTATTGAAGGCATGCACGAAATTGGTGCGGCAATGTTCTATGCTGTATACTAGAGACTGCCAGAAACATGCCTGTGTATCTTTAGGATCGTAGAGAATGGTCCAAAACGAGGCTGCAACGATTAGACCGTTGCCCCCAAACGGTGAAGGTCGCGGGCATCGAAAAGTGCGGGTAGCATATGGCCCTGATTGGCTATTTCGGGGAGTGGATCGCCGTCCCAAACGGTGGGGGCAGCAGGACACCAATAGAGTGTTGCGGAGTCTACCTATGAACAGTAACGAAATTGGCCATTTTTTGGTCTGGTATAATTCGGAGGCCAACATAACGGAATGCTGTTGTTCTTTCTGCCCACCTGGGTAGATAACGCTACACAACTGTGCTATCTAAGAATGTTTATGTTCACCGTGGATAACCAGACGTGGCCATTGACCGGGAGAATATCATAACAATTTTTATCCATGTGCTACTACAAACAGTGCGATTCTCTTCTGTGTAAGGGTTCAACACAATGACGGATATTCCAGTTCAAATCAACTGACAGAACTCCAAACGTACAGTGTTAAACAGACATTCATATGGTTGATTACTGCCGGACGATGTTGACGAATCCTACAAGTATTCTGCTATTCTGCCCATCTCAATTTCCGTTACCGTAAATATTGATCTGGTTAAAAAGCACTGTTCTAAGAGACAAGAATAGCCGTCAGGTTTAACCGGAGGGTCAACGTAGGAAGAACGATGGCGCGCGGCGAAATTGCAATCAAATCTTCCCACAACCCAGGTGTTGAAACAGAGGCTGTGAAAAGTGGAAGATGCTTTTAAAAATAGTTACACCTTTACTTGATGTAGAGTAAATAATAAGATAGGCCAGAAAGTAGCAACCCCCTCCACCAAGCCAATAGATCACGTGCAGCCCCTGATACTCTGATACACCCCAGGTCTACAGCAAGAAAAAATTTCGACCCTGCCAGTCTATGTCGGATTAGATCGGATTGCGCCGGTTCGGAACGGGTCGGCCCGGCTAAAAGGTCTGGAAGCTGTCATGATCCTGGATATGTTCCACCCCCATGCTGTGAAATATTGACATCTTGTAAGGACCTTGGAGGATTTGAAACTTTCTACTGTAGGACGCTAGCTGTCTCCAGATCAACTCCAAAAGCTACTTATGTGTCACTCTGCAAGGAATACCTTACTGCATCGATAGCAAAATGCGTGTGTGTGAATATTCGTCCTCAATATATACGTGTCTTTCCCAGCACACGTGCCGTCGAAGATGTGTGTGTATATTAGGGCTCTTGAAGGAGAGGAACAACGTGCCCCCAGCAGACATCTTCGAAACTCTTGAAATGACGTGGGCTAAGCTGGTATGACGTATGTACTATACTCTATCACCAATTTAGGTCTAGTGGCACTCCAAACTACACTAAGAGAGAGGCTAGCCGGATTGTGCAAGTCCGACTTGATGCGTCTAACGATATCCATTAGGAAGAAATCTTATGCCTACCACCATACTGCTACCGTACAATTCCCGGGGCATCGACAATCTGGAGATGCCTAAGGTACAAGGTGGCTCCCGTCTAGTTAGTTACTGCGAAGCAGGCCTCCTAAGCCAATTAATTCATTCTTCGAGAAGGTCTATTAGATAGTAAGTCGGGTATTGTCGAATCCAATGGATGGTACATTAAGCATGATTATATTTGAAGATCACGTGGAAATTTCGGTGCGGCGGAATAATGGCAGGAGATAGCGATGACTGACGGATAACAAACACATATTGCCTATTTTGGTCTAGTGGCCCTCTCAGCGAGAGTAAGAGATACGCTAACCACATTTTGATATCCAGTTCTCCAGTTCATACTACATCTGTGTGGTTCTTTAACATGACCAGATTCCGCAAATCTTTAATTGAGATGAAGGTGGAGGTTGCGCTTCTTTCACCGTGTCCAACAAGAAAATGTATGAATGAATCGATCTGTTTATTATTTTCGACCATGCGGTACTCAGAGGACCTACAGATCCATCACTGCGCATGGCCTGAGAAAAATGCGGGAGTAGCCAAGTCAGTAGCTAGCCTCAATAAAATGCACTACGCTAGCCCTATCTAAATGCAGCCGTTCACCTAGCACCCTTAACCGTTGTCTCCTCAATAAGAAGCTGGCGTCATTAATGTGGCGCCCGTCCTATTGTTTCACCTCTAGCTGGAAGGCAAAAGCTTAGTGGGGCTAAGTTAGCGCGTCGAGTACCTTGGCTATTCCCTAGCCATCGCCCCGTTAGGCGTTTAGCGCGTATTAGCGGATGGCGCGGATATATCTAGTAATATATTAGTCTTCCGTGCTATTGTTTTCGATATAATTGTTACGGACCAACCAGGCACCAATCGGTCAGGGGACCGCAACTTACTGATGGGCCACCGAGAGCCAACCGATTCATGTGTCAGATCACGTGATCACGTTCAGTGAGCAAGAGCACGATTTACCCTGAGCGGACCCACCCGGCAGACTTTATCCCGTACATATGCGTTGTCGCAGCTTTTCCCTCTCCGACCCAAGACATTGCATATCAAAGACTTTAAGTTTATCCGCCGGAGATGTCTTCTTTACCACCCGGATGGACCGAAGAGCGACTTCAAACCATAGCCGAGGATGACTTGCGTCAAATACCGGAGGAGGTAAGCTATGACCACCTTCGAACTTCCATGGAACCCTCCATTAATTCGTACTAACCATCTCTCACCAATTCAGCAAATCGGCCAAATTGATTTAGATTTGATCCCCTTCGACAATGTTCGAGCTCGCACAATTATCTCATTCGCGAAATTGTTCGAGGAACAAAGATTAAGTCGCGAGAGAAAGGGCATGCCCCCTGCCCCTCCAAAAGATATATTCAAAATAGCCGATGATGCAGTCGTCCAGGTCGTGGAAGAGAATGGATTCGATGACTTCGGTTTCATTACTTTCCGAACAGATTACTCAGATGATGAACGCTGGGATAAATGGGATGCAGAGTATGATCGCCGAACAGATTTTTCGATAGAAAGGTCCGCTGGCGGTCAGAAGATCATGGATAAATGCTTGATGCCTCGCTTTGAGGATCCGGAATTACATGGTGCTACTCATCAGCAGATTCAACAGTAAGATCATCCTTGGAATTTCAATGTTGTCAATGCAGATCACTGATACGAGCCAGATCATACTATGGGTACCTAGAAACTGAGGGCGTGGCTCCGGGATTAGATGTGGGCCTGTGTCTACTTGCTGATACTGCCGCTGTGGAGTCCATGAACAGTGACCTGCCATGGGTGTACGCGTTGGATATGAACTTTGATCATTCGAGCGAAGTGGAAGAGGGAGAATATCCAGGATACTTCCGAGTTGCCGTGGACTCGGTGATTCCAGAGCTTTATCCCATGCTTACAGCTATGCCACCCGCGGAGCTTTGGGCCCAGGGGGATGAGATATGGCAGTTAGCCGTTTAGTCAGAAACTCTTGGTATTGTAAATTAAATGAGGGC